CTCTCCCGCTCCCACATCTGCCTTTGAGCTGCTAAGGCAGAGAGCCACAGGGACTGGGGTGCCCAGGTTTGCCAGCTCCACCCTGTGCAGGTGCCACCAGGGCCAAATTGAGCCTGACCTGAAGCTGTCCTCTGTTTTATCCTGCTCCATCCAAGCCTGGGCCATTCATGGGCAGAGTTCATGGCCTGGCAGCAGAACTCCTGTGGAGTGCCTTGGTCAGGCCAGCTGCCATCCATGGCTCGTCCCTTCCTCTGGAGTTCTCAAGTCTATGAAGGCCACCACTCTCTCTGACACAGTGTGATAGAAGGGTGGGGGAGGGGGCACATGTGCATCTCCAAGGTAGCCACAGCTCATGCTCTAGGGGATGTTTGCTATGACCAGGCCTTGGGGGTTGGGACCCAGAGACCCTGGGTGCCCATCTGCAGGTGTGATTCCTCCATGACCAGAGCACGGTTTGAGCCACACTAGAGCCACTCCTTGGGCCATCTATGGCAGCTTCAGAAATTCTCTCAAGATGGCATCACTACTGTAGCAGGCCCTGGGCTCCAAGGGGCCTCAAGCCCCATGGGACCTAGGCCATAGGCCCCTACCCATTTGGGAGACCACCTAGTGAGCTCCCAGCTGCATAGCCTTGGCCTGGGACCCATGGCCCTGTGGTCCCAGCCTGGCTCTGGGCACCTGCCTTTCCTCACCTCTGCTGTGACCCTGCTACCCTCTCAACCTGGGAGTCTTCCCCTCCTGGAAGCTCCTGCTGGTAGCCCATAGGGACTGTATGCAAAGTGGAGGCAAGTGGCCTGGGGATGGCCAGGCCCAGCTTCTGGTTCCAGGACACCCACACAGAGACCCAGCAGCTTGTCCAGCTTGGGTACCACAGAGGCCTCCCAGCCCCCCTGGCCTCTCTGGACACCCCTAGCCTGGGCTGTGAGGCCCATTCATGGGGGCCACCATGAGTCTGCACAGGGTGTCCCTGTCCTCAGCCTGTGTGGAGAGCTGGAGCAAGCAGGAGGAGGGGACAACATGAGTCCCCCACCCCGAGACTATTGGGACTTCTTGACCCAAAGGGTCTCCACAGGGAGATGATGGCTGCTGTAGGGTCCTGCCCAGACCAAATTGTCCCAGATAGCCTCTTTCTGGGGCCAGTATATGAAACAATAGCCACATCTATTAGGTACCTACTGTGTACTACAGGCATCTGGAAGGGACTCTCCTTATAGTCCTGCAGGGCAACCAGGGTCCTCACTCCATAAATGGGCCAGTGGTGGGTGGAGCCTAGGCTGAGGGGATCTAGGCTGGGGTCATTGGATGGCCCCAAGAGACCCCCAGGAAGGCATGCAAGGCCAGAAGCCAAGAGCTGCGAGGGTCCAGTCGAATGGACAGCAAGGTCGGCCAGTCCAGATGCTGTGGGTAGCTGGCCTTGGGTGTGGAGGGACACTGGACCCCATCAGACCTGTGCCACATCCACTGTGCAGCCCCTGCTTTGGGGGGTACCAGGTGAACTGATGTCCCTCCCTCACAGTCATCCCATTCCTAAGGCCCCCAGCGGATATAGATCCCCTTCAGTTGAGGGTTTTTTTTTGTAGTTTATTGCCCTCAGTAGAGTGCTGTGGCGTCACACTGCTCACAGCAACCTCCAACTTCTGGGCTAAGGTGATTCTCTTGCCTTAGCCTCCCAAGTAACTGGGACTATAGGTGCTCACCACAACACCCCACTATTTTTTTGTTGTTGTTGCAATTCAGCTGGGCCTGGGTTCGAACCCACCACCCTCAGTATTTGGGGCCAGCATCCTACCCACTGAGCCGCAGACACTGCTCCCTTCAGTTGAGTTTTATGATCAGCTTCTTGGGGACCTGGTGTAGGCTGGGGCACCCCTTTCAGCACCTTGTTTTTTCAGGGTGTTTTTCTGCCAGAGCCCAAGCAGCTAATGCAGGAAGCAGCCATGTGGAGGCCCAGGCCCTAGGGTGGACGAGGTGAGGGTGCCTCTCAGATGCAGGGCAGGCCTCAGCTGAAGAATCCAGACAGCAGGGGTCCTCTGGGCAGGAAGGGGCCTGGAAGAGGCAGCCCACAAGGACTGGGCCAGAGTTCACGGGGCCAATACTCCTGGTTCCCACTGATTTGGGGCCCCAGCCCATTCCACCCCACCCCAGGCCAAAGCCTTGGATACCTTTGGTGAAGCATTGCAAAATCCTGGCATGGGCTTTGCCCTCCTCTCCCAGAGGGCAAGAAGCTCTGACAAAGGAGAGCAGAGGCGAGAGGGGAAAGGGCACCCTGCATGGGCCACAGATGGTATGCAGCAGTGCCCGTGCTGAACTGGACTTGGCTGGTGGGGCTCAGGCTCCAGTGGGGCTGGAGTGCTGAGTTGGGGTGCCGAGTCAGTGACCCTGAATGCAAGCTGGGCTGAGGGCTGGGAGGTGTTAAGCACAGGTGTGGCTGGGTGTTTCTGCAGTGGGAGCCCAGGGCTTGGAGGCTTAGGCCATGGCTGTGTTGATGGCTCAGGGGAGTCACAGAAGGTTCATTGCAGGACACTGGCACACTGATTAAGGGGGGCAGGAAAGAATGGAGTGGCCACAGGGTCATAGACTGAGGCCTAGGTGAGGGTGGGAACAGAGAGAAAAGGGCAGTGGGCTGGTGGAAAGGAAGTTTGGAAGGTGGAACAAAACCACAGGTTTGGTGATGGCTCAGGGGACAGGTGAGGGGCTCTCCCAGACATCATCTGTGCTGAAGGGGCATCACAGACGGTCATGACATGGCCAAGAAAACCTGAAGGATGCCCAGGGTATAGCTGGTATGGCTGATGGAGGCAGTTCTGGTTGTTGACTTGAGGACTGGGAGTGGACAAGACCCCAGGGAAGGAGGGAAGAGCGCCAAGGATGGTCCAAATGGACCAGGGCAGGACAGACACAGGTGGAGGGAGTGGGAAGGCACCCTGGAGCATGGCCCCACCTCACATTTCCCTTCAGTGATGCCCAGCTCTGTGGAATGTCTGTGTCTGTACACATATGAGGGATGTCAGGCTCTCTGCAGTTAGTGGGAAGCAGGCGGGGACTTAGAATTTGACTCTCCCTGAGCCTTCCTCTTGGCTCACCTCTCTGGCTGGGAGCTGGAAAAGCTGCTCTGCTGGGTGAGAAGCCAGGGGACCATGGGACCCCCCAGATGGGCCTTGGAGGATCCCAAAGTGGACAGGCAGGGTGTCTGTCCACTGCTGGGGATTTGGCTGGGGGGTGCTGATCTGACCAACAGGAAAATGGGGGCCTGAGTCAGTCACCCAAGGGCCCATGCCCAGGGCAGAGGGCAAGAGACCTCTGGGCCTCCAAGATTCATTCTGACCCATGTGTGCAAAGAGGGCAGGGGCTCCACTGCCAGGACCACCAGTGAGGGCATGCCCATCTGCATGGCACTCTAGGCTTCCAACAGAACAGGTATGGTGGCTTAACAGAGGCCTCAGGGTCCAGTGGTCAGCTTCCCTGGGAAAGTGAAGCTCACCTTAGTGCCAAGTCCTCAACACAGAGACACACAGAAGGTAAGCTGGACAACACCCACAGCAGAGAAATCCCCACCTGCCTCCTGCTGGGTCTACACCAGGACCAGGCTGCTGGACCCTCCTCACCCCTGGAGCCCTCTGGAGGCTCTCATAGAGGTTCTTTGTGGCAGGGTCCACCTTCAGGGTGAAAGGAAGGAGAGGCCACAGATAGCTGGCTGTGTGGTCCCAAGTATGGATGCCCCTTTCTGGAGGACTGAGTCCATGTTGTTCTTCATTTGGGGAGAGCTGAGAGTTGGGGAGCAAGGGAAAGCTAACCCTAACCCTCCAGGGTACCCTTCCCCCACTCCTTGTCTCCCAAGGCTGTGGGGGAGGAATATTAGCTCATCCTGGCCTGGGCACCTGGCTAAGAAGACCACTAAGGGGACCCCAGCCCCTCCCAGCTGACATGAGCCCACCCTTAGAATGATACTTTAATGTGGTCACCAGAATGCTGCCCAACACTCCCAGGACAGTGTGACTGCCCCCACCATAGGAGAGACAGGCTCTGTCGGACCCTCAGAGGGTCCTTTGCAGGGAGCCACAGTGGGCTACAGCCGCTCTCCCCTCAGGGGCTGCACAAACTCTGTAGAAGGGGTGGGCTCAGGGTCTACGTGGAACTGACGCTAGGGGGGCCAGCCCCAGCCCTGCCTTCACAAGGCCTAGAAGGGAACCGAGAGAGGCAGGGAGAGAGCATCAGGGTTGGCTCTGATCTTCTGGAGAGATGAAAATGCTCAAAGGGTAGCAGAGGTGTCAAGACAGCAAAAGACACATCATGAGCAAAAGCCTGGGCTGGGCAGCAGGGGGATGGGGTGGGAGCCTGAGAGGTCAGGGCCCTGCATGTGCGGCAGTGGCCTTGGAAGTGCTCTACATGTGAGAGTGGGGTGGTGGTCATTGATACCAACAAAGAGACATAGGTGGTAGTAGTGCAGGGATGAGAGGCTTAAGGGAGGTTGAGGTGCTGAGGGAAGACCCTGAGACAAGCATATACAGGTGTTTACGGGTCCCACAATCAGCCCAGGGACGTCAGCCTCAATATTGACTGTGGCCCGGCCCTTGGGGGCCACTGGGAGCACCCTAGCCCCTTGGTCCCCAAATTCTCAACCCACTCTTGGGACCAGCCCCCCGTGCTAGCAGACAGCCACTCATCCTGGAGTCCCGAGCCGCTCTCAGGCTGGTGACCTTGGGCCCGTATCAGCAGCCTGTGGGATTGGATCTGAGTCTGGGTTCTGCACAGAAGGCAGAGAAGGAGCACGACGGAGTCCAGCCGGATCAGGGAAACGCGGACCTGGGCTGCTCAGGCCCTAACTCTAGCCATTACAACAGTCAAGGTGAGCTCTTTGGTGGAGGTGGCAGTAGCTGGGCCTGGAGGGAAGCCAGGACCGTGCCATAAGGCTGGGGGCAGAGGCTCCAGCAGAGTAAGAGAGGCGCTCGGAGGATCCCGGAGTGCGGAGGTGCAGTATGAGCCCGCGGAGGGAGGAAGAGGGGGCGCCCCTAGGCTGGGAGGCCCACTGCCTCCCTGTGCCTGGCCACGTGCACTGGGGGTGCGCAGACCGCGGAAGCACATGCGCGTGTCCTCTCAGGGTCCCGGGTCGGTTCAGGACCACTGACCATTGACCGGACAGCACCTCGCAGTCGGTGCGGTAGAGCTGGCGGGGCGGTTGACCTTTCTTCGCAGCGGCCGGGGGCGGAGCCCGAAAAGCCACGCCTCTCCAGCACACTGCCATTGGGTCCCTTGGAAACCCCGGCTCCCATTGGCTCACGCGGCCCCTCCCTAAGCTACCAGAGGTGCCCGGGCCCCCGCCAGCGCGGGAGCCGCGCGTGCGCAGAGTGAGAGCTGGCGCGCGCGGCGAGGTGTGATACGAGACGCCGTGTGCATCCGCGGCTACACTGCGGCCAGCTAGTCCCAGGCGGCTCGCGTGCCGCCCGCCCCCGGCTTCGCCCCGCCCCCGCGGAGGGATCCGTGCCGCCGTGGCCCAAAAGCTCGGGGCGAGGCGGCCGGGCCAGGGAGCCGCTCGGCTGCTGCGTGTGGCGGTGCCCGGCCGCCTCCCGCGCCCGCCGCCTCGTCTTGGAGGTCCGGCGCCCCGCGGGCCGGGGAGGCCGCTGCGCGCGATGCTGCTGTCCAAGTTCGGCTCGCTGGCGCACCTGTGCGGGCCTGGCGGCGCGGACCACCTCCCGGCAAAGCTCCTGCAGCCAGGTAGGCGGGGCGGGGGAGGCCGCCGGGCGGCGGCAGCGACGGGGTCCGCGGGTCTGCGGTGTCCGCGGGCCTCACCAATCCCGCGCGCGGTCTCCACAGCCAAAGCGGACAGGGAAAGCTTTGAGAAGGCCTACCAGGTGGGCGCCGTACTAGGCAGCGGCGGCTTCGGCACGGTCTACGCGGGCAGCCGCATCGCCGACGGGCTCCCGGTGAGTCGGGCCTCACGGCGGACTCAGGTTTCTTGTTTGCCACGCGCCTCCCTCAGCCTGGCCGGCTGACCCTCCATTCCTCCTTCCCCCCCACCCTAGGTGGCCGTGAAGCACGTGGTGAAGGAGCGGGTGACCGAGTGGGGCAGCCTTGTAAGTTGGGGCGCCTGCGGGTCAGTGGGGCGGCGGGGCGCCAGCGGGCGGCGGGCGGCTGGGTGCACTGACCGCTGTGTCCCCCAGGGCGGCGTGGCAGTGCCCCTTGAGGTGGTGCTGCTGCGCAAAGTGGGCGCGGCCGGCGGCGCGCGCGGCGTCATCCGCCTGCTGGACTGGTTCGAGCGGCCCGACGGCTTCCTGTTGGTGCTGGAGCGTCCCGAGCCGGCGCAGGACTTGTTCGACTTTATCACCGAACGCGGCGCCCTGGACGAGCCGCTGGCGCGCCGCTTCTTCGCGCAGGTGCTGGCCGCCGTGCGCCACTGCCACGGTTGTGGGGTAGTGCACCGCGACATCAAGGACGAGAACCTGCTGGTGGACCTGCGCTCGGGCGAGCTCAAGCTCATCGACTTCGGCTCCGGCGCGCTGCTCAAAGACACCGTCTACACCGACTTCGACGGTGAGCACGGGTGCTCGGGAACGTTCTGGCGGGCGGCTGGAACGGCGGCGGCGGTTACGCCCGCTGGACGCACCGAGGGGCTGGGGACTGTTAGGTCGCGCGCGCCGCAGTGGGAGGGCTGAGCAAGGGATCGCACGCTGATCATGGGGAGCGAGAGGCGCGCTCGAGACTTCCCTTCGGCTTCGCTTACGGGGCTTGGTGGTTCAGAGGTCCCTAGCTGGGGGGCGGAGGCGGTGGAGGTGCTTGTAGGAGACCCTTGGCTGGGGAAGTACCTAAAGTGTTTCGCGCAGGCATAGCCTTGCGGCGCAGCTGGGTCTGCGCCAGGTGTCAGAGCGGCGCTAGTGGGGGCCGCCCTGTGCGTGGAGGCGGGCCTGCCTGCGTGCGTGCTGAGCGTGGGGACGCCGCAGCAGAAATCCCCGCATTGCAGAGCGTGGGGAAGCCGAGGCTCCCTGTCTTCCCCCCTCTTTTTTCCCCCTCCCTTCTGTTCCTGAAGTAGGCTCAGGGCGGAGAGGGACCTGCTGCGCCCTGGGTGCATCTGTTGTGAAATTGGAGCCTTTACTCATGTGACCATCCCCCCAACTGGGGGGTGGGGCAAACCCACCCCTTCCCGGCCCTGGCCACGCCCCCTAAGCAGAGCTGGGGTTTTTCCAGAGTGATGACGAGCAGGATTTCAAGGCCTGGCTCTCTCTCTTCCAACTCTGGCCCAGGAATTAACTGTCGGGGAAAATGCCCAGCCTCTCTCTTCTGTGGGGTCTTACATCTGTCTGGTGCTTGCCTCATGCGTGTCTGACCCCTGGATGGGTGTTTTCCCAGGCACCCGAGTGTACAGCCCTCCAGAGTGGATCCGCTACCACCGTTACCACGGGCGTTCGGCCACTGTGTGGTCTCTGGGCGTGCTGCTCTACGACATGGTGTGTGGGGACATCCCTTTTGAACAGGACGAGGAAATTCTCCGTGGCCACCTGTTCTTCCGGAGGAGGGTCTCTTTAGGTATGTAGTGAGTTGGGCACATGGGGGAAGGGTCAGGGAGTCAGGCCCCTTGCTGATCCTGCCTCTCTCACCAGAGTGTCAGCAGCTCATCCAGTGGTGTCTGTCCCTGCGGCCCTCAGAACGGCCCTCGCTGGACCAGATTGCTGCTCACCCCTGGATGCTGGGAGCTGATGGGGATGCCCCAGTGAGCTGTGACCTGCGGCTATGTGCCCTGGACCCTGATGATGGGGCCAGCACCACATCCAGCAGTGAGAGCTTGTGAGGGGGGACCTGGATGCTGGCACTAGGGCTGCCCCTCACTCACAGGAGCCAAGGGACCATCTGTCTGAGCCAGCCCCTGATGCCCCAGAACACTGGCATTCTCCTGCTGGGCTGTCACTTCCTGAGAAGCAGTGATCTGTGACCCCGGTGACCTTTGCTTTGAGTGCCTTTTGAACGCTGGTCCCACAGGACTCGGTTTTCTCAAGCTCTGTCTGTCCAAAGACGGCTCCAGTTAAAGTAAGGTCGTGCATGCCCTGGGTGGACACTTGAGCCCGAGATATTCCTTTCTCTGTGCTGCTCTGTCCAGCGAATGTGTCTGACCGGAAGCCCACCTCAAGTCTAGGAGTGGTACAGTGTTTGTCCAGACGTGTCCCATGCACAAGCAATGCAACTGCGGGCCTTTGCCACCCGCCCCCCTCCCCCCACCCACGCAAGCTGTGTCTGCGCGTGCCAACGTCTGTTATTTATGGTGTGACCCCGTGGAGGGTGCCCCTGGCCCTCTGTGGCTATTTATTGTTTAATTTATTATATTTGTTGAGGTTATTTTCTCTTGAGCAGCCGGCCTTCTCCAGGCCCCTGGGGTGGTGGGGAGGGGAAGGACAATTGTGGTCTGGGGATCCTGGGTCCTGACTCTTGCACCTGGTGTAGGTCCCTAGCCCTACCTGTGTCTGTCGAAAGACAAACTTGTACAGTGGCTGATTTAAGGGGAGTGGGTGACCCTGCTACCTGGAGGCACTCTGCCCCTGGGGCAGGTTTTAAATTATTAACTTTGTACAGTCTGCTTGTTGGCTCTGAAAGGTGGGGGTGGGGGGCAGAGTCTCAAGCCTTTAATTTATTTTAGCAGCTGTGTTTATGTGGTCTCGGTGTGTGTAGGCATCGAGGATGGGGGTTTTTTTCAGTTTAAAAGTGTGAGATGTCTGGAGATCCTATTTTTTATACAGGTATTTCAATTAAATTTTTTGTACATAGTGGATGTCTTGTGTTTGCTGGGGTGAGAGAGGAAGAGGTTGGGGCCTCTGGTGGACCATTTCAGGCTTCTGGTAGGGGACAGCTTTGCCCACTGGAGAGTGTGGGGGGCACAGCCTCTCCCAACATGGCTCTAACCCTGTGGTGGCAGAGGGGTCCTGGATGAGGCTTGTGACTCTTCTCTGTACTCAGGAAGAGGAGTCTCCAGAAGGGGTGGCAGGGAGTCAGGTCCTGAGGGGATACATCACCCCACCATCTAGAGCCATACCTGGCTTGACCCCAAGAGGACCTGCTGCCTCTGCTCTCAGAAGCCACATGTGTACTCTTTTTAGGCTGCTCATGTATGCATAATGGGAGGCCGCACACCCTCAGGAGGCTGGTATAGGTTCTGAGGAAAGTAGGAGTTTGCCAGGTGGGAGGGTGCCCTAGGTGGTGCAGATGGCATGGGGAGGCACCCATGAGCTAGGTATTGAAATGGGTGAGGCTGTGGCATATGGGACAAGTGAAGGAGGCCTGGGTGGAGGGTCTCTTGTGGCCTGCTCCTCATCTCTCCACCTCCCTGCCAGGGACTGTCTGCCCAGTACCCTGTTCATGAGGACCATTGACCATCCCTGTTCCCACCTGCTAAAGAGCCCCTGCTGGCAGCAGAACTGGGACCTCTGGGCTAGAGCAGAAGCAGGAAGTTTTAGAAAGTGTAGCAGGAGGGCAGGCAGAGAGGCTGAGGGCCTTTAGCTTGTCTTTCTTGTGGAACTATTGCTGAAGCCCAGGAGTTCGTGGGGATGGGAGGAGATGGCTTTCTTCCACTCTGCCTCAGCTGGGCAGCAGTGACGTGGGGCAGGCAGGGAAGGATGGCCTAGCTTGAGTCTGCCCAGCTTGAGTCCACCCAGCTTGCCCCAGGTGTACTAGGCCCAGGGGGTCTTGCTGTGATATTCACCTCCTCCATCCCCCAGAAATGGGGCCTCGGCAGCAACATAGCCCATGGCTGCAGCCATTGGAAGGCCTCTCGTGGGGACTCCCCTGTGCTGGCCCCAGTCGTCAGCATCTCCACATGGTCCAGGCTGCTTTGCCTTCACTGGTGATGGTAACCTGGTTGTAAAGCTTGTCATACAGTCTTGGCTGTCCCTTTGCTACTGAGGATCTGGGCTCCTCTTAGGGTCAGCTGCCTCCCCATCCATCACTTACCCTCACAGGGGAAAGAGGCTGAGGAAGCAGCAAGGCCACCTGGTTGCCCAGTGCCTGTCTCACCCCCACGGCTGGCCCTCTGTGTGTGGGCCCAGTGCCCTGTGAACAGCCCCTGAAAACCCAGCCCAAGGCCCTCTCAGGCACTGCTGCCGTCTGTTCTTGGGCCAGCTGCCATGGCATGCCAGCCCCTAGTTCCACCACGCAAAGACTCTACCTAGGTTGTCCTCAGGGAAAATGAGGCCCAGAGAAGCAGGAACCTTGTGCAGGCACCAGAATGTGACCCTGGTCTCCCACTGTGGTGTCTTCATACCTCAAGGAGCTGCAGAGGGCCAGGCTGGAGGCTCCTCTGTGGTGGCCGAGGCACGGGGAGTGGGGCAGCAGCTCCTAGTAGCCTTCCACTGGTATGGCCCAGGACATCCTAAGGGGAGCGGGCTTTGGACATATCTTCACTTGATTCAGGACAAGATAAAGCCTGGCCAGGTCTGGTCCTCCTTCATCCTCTCAGCCACTCAGTCTGCAGGGCTGAGCCCCACAGCACAGGGGAGGGGGCGGAGGATACCCCTGCAGTGAGATTCCAGAGAACTGTCCTGACTTTGAGACAGGTGCATTCCACCACTATGCTTTCCCTGCTGGGCTTCATGATGAGTACACGACAAGGGGGAGGGACTTGGGGCTCCACTGTCACCCCCTGTCTCCAGATACTCTTTGGGGTTCTGGGAGGATCTGAGTGGTCCCCACACTAAGCCTTGCTTCCCCTGGAGGAGGAAGCCCAGCAGACCCACTTGAGTGTCCACCCAGGGGCTGTTCCTGGCTCCCAAATAGGATCTACCTACATACGGTCCCTCCTGCTAGGACCACAACTCCTGCAGTCCCACCCCAACCAGAGGGTACTCCAAGTGGCCTGTCTGGATGAGGTGCCTATAGGTTCTGGGCAGGCCATCCTCCAGCTGTCCCCCTGGCTGCATGGAGGGCAAGGATCTGCTGACTGACACCAAGTTCTGTGTGTCCCCAGTGGCTACAGGACCTCCTCTGCTCGTCCAGCATGTTAGCACTGGCAAGACACCTGAGGCCCACACTGGCCTTAGAATGAGGACTCTCTGGGGGCATGACCCCCAGGACCCTGACCTGTCCCCTTCTCTCCCCCCACTGCCCAGGCTTTTTGCAGCCCACTCCTCCCATCCACACTTGGGGCTCTGCTTGCCCCTGTTCTGAGTGTTCTCTGTTACCTGCTGGCTAGTCCCTCTTCACCACATGTTTTAGTATCTTCCTCCACTTTTTTGCAATTTGTTGTCTAGAGCATCCTTCAGAGACCTCTGTCAAGTTCTGGTAAGTATCTTCCCCCACAGTGGAGCCCTAGACACATTCAAAGCTGGGTCCCTAAGGGTGGCCTGGTCAGCCAGCAGGTCAGGGCATAAGCCAAGGCTGATCTGCCTGGTACCCACAGCATGGCAAGGCTCCCCCTCAGGGGTTGCTCTCCTTGCCACCCATGTTGTCTGCCTCTCCTGGCCTCCTTGGCCTCTGGGCCTGAGGCCAGACCTAGTGCCCATAGAGAGAGGCTGGGATGGAGATGTCCTGGGACTGCAAGGGCCTTGCTAAGTTTCTTTTCTCCAGTGCAGCCCCAGAAACAAAACCTTGGTGTGGCTTTGGTGCCAAGGCTGCGTGGCAGGGGAAGTGAGCCCTGGTGGCTCCCATGGGCCTGCCCACCCCAGCTGGCTTGGGATTCCCCATACTATAGTGGAAGCACAAAAAGAAGGTTCACAGACCCCTACACAGTGGCACAGCTGCTCACACCTGACCACACAGGGAAGGCTGGGCAGCTGGCTAGGTAGACAGTGGAGGCCCAGAGAGGTGGGGGGTAGGGGATCAATTTGGCCACTTGGCTCATAGTCACCACACTGTGGCTGGGAAGGGACATTCCAGCCCAGACAGGCAGAAGCCAACTCTGAGTGGGCACCTTTGAGATCAGAGGCAGGGATAGGGAGGAGTGTCAGCCACATTTGGCACCTGCCCCCAGAACAAGGGGTGGAGAGGAGCCCATGCTGAATTTCAGACCCGGGGTTTCTCAGTGGCCCTTTTCCTCTCTGCAGAGCCTCTGGGGGCTGAGGCTCCACATGTGACTTCCCTGTCTTGGTGAAGCCCTGAGCTTTGATTACACAAATATCCCCCCACCCCAGCGTTCCCAGCAGTGACGGCCTGGCCTGGCAGGATGGGGCCAGGGCCTGCCCCTCCAGTTCCCTCACTGCCCTTCAGTAGTGATCAGGCCAGGACCCTGCAGGGAAGCCCCTTCCAGGGGCCATGCCAGGATGGGGGAGGAGTAAAGGTTCATGGTAGAACTCCCCTTGGGAGTGGGATCACCTGTACCCAGTGTTGAATTAGCTAAGTGGGAGATGTCAGGGACCAGCTCTGCAAGCTGACTTGAGGAGGAGGGAGCTCTCAGGGGACACAATAAAGAACCCTACATCCTCCTCCAGCCTCTGCTGCTCACCCTCCTGCTAGGAGCCTGTCCAGCTCTGCCAGACCAAAGCTGCCCTCCACTCCTGCCTTGGCACAGACAGGCGCCAGCTGAAGAGCCTCAGGTGCCCCATACCCCACCTACAGTGGGAGTTCATGCCTCTCCCTGGCCCATGCCCCTGAGGCTGCTGTGCTGAGGTAGGCTTTTAGGCCTCCTCCTAACGGGTGGGCAGGCGCCCTTGACTCCCTGGGAGCAGCCCCTGTGCTGTGTCCCGTGGACTCCACCAGAAGAGGTCACACAACACACAGGAAGACAATTCTGTTAGGAGCTGCTCTGTTTTTAGGTTCTGAGTTCTAGGACCCAGTGACCAGGCTCTCGCCACTGGGCTAAGCCAGGCAAGGGGTGGCAGTCAGGGATCCTGGGCTACCAGGTGCTGCCTGAAGCTGAGTGGTCCGTGGGGGGTCAGTGCAAAGAGGGCGAGGATCCAGGAAATGCCCAGGTCAAGCCTCAGACCACATGCACAGTCCACTAGCCAGCTCCCCACGGAGCACCGCAGAGGAGCCCATCCCTGCCAGACTTAAATTGGTGTGAAGATTTCACATGTGCCAGAGACATGGGTGGGGCTCTCAGTGGCCACCCCCAGCCTTTTGGCCAGGGTGCTTCCAAGTGGGGCCTACAGCAGCACAGGCTGCCTTACAGTAATGGGGAGAGGGCACCAGCAGGGGGGGCTCTGGAGTGGGTCAGGGGCTGGTATGATGCCCACCAGACAGCTGGGAAATATGGAACCAGGTCCTGGAGAATCTTGGAGTCCCAGCTCTGCCCCTAATTCTGTCCAGGCTCAGAAGCAACCATCTCAGTGTCCTCACTAGAAAGGCCCAGCAGAAGCCATCAGGCCAAAAAAGGGGTGCATGTAGCTCTGTGTGTGTTCATACATGTGTCCGCATATGCACATGCACACATAGGTATACGTGTGTTGGTGGGTGTGTAAATCTCTGCATGTATGTGCACACACGTGAGTGCATGTGAGTCTGAGTGGATCTGTGTGCATATGTGTGATCACTAGTATGTGTGGGTGTGCATCTATGCATGTATATTCCAGGATGTTTATGTGCACATGTGTGCTTCCGTGTGTGCACCTGCTCGGTCTCTGGCCTAGGCAGACTCTGGCACCTCGACAGTGTTTCCCCCTCCCCAGCCCCCACATGACGTGGCTGCTGCACCGCGTGACTCACCCTCCCCTCACTCAAAGGGCACAGCAGCACATGGGGGAGTCTCCCGTGACTCAGCGCCTAAGGCACTGCCAGCCCTGCCCATGAGGTGGGGGAGAGACGCTGATGACAGGGGAGAGGTGCCCGAGCCGGAGCCGAGGGA